ACAGAGTTTAGAGCAGGGCCTCCCAACCTTTTGGGCACCAGGGGCCGGTACCATGGAGAGAGGTTTTTCCGTGGACCAGCATGTGTTGCCTGCATCCCGCAGGGGGGCTTTGCTTGTTTGCTCAGACCAGTTTTTGGCATGCCAGGGGTGTCGGGGCCTGTCCACGGACCCGGGGATGGGCACCCCTGGTTTAGAGCAAGGCTGGGCAACTTTGGCAACTTTTCAACCTGTGGACTTCAACTTCCAGAATTCCCTACCCAGCCATAATGGCTGGGGAATTCTGGGAATTGAAATCCACAAGTCTTATATGAAATCGACAAGGTTGGATACTCCTGATTTAGAGGGAAAATTCCTCTCCTTGAAATGACCAATAGCAGCGTCTTTGAAAGAGGCGTTCAAAGGTCCAGCGGGCAAGACGGTATGTGGGGGGGGGGAAATAAGACCCCCTTTTTGGCTTTTCCGCCTGGATTCCCCGTCTCCGAAACCTCCCTTTCGCTTCGGCGCTTACCGAAGGCCCAAAACGGGCCCAACGAGAGGGAGGCACACACGGGTGTGCTGCACCGTGCTCTCGACCCAGGCCACCAAGAGGCGAATAAAAGCCGCGTCTCCGAGCGGCCCATCGGTGCTCCGAAATCTGCCCCGAAGCAACCCGAGCACACTTCCGTTTGGGGCCCGGCCGCGTCCGGCTTCGTGTCGCGCTCGCTTTAATCCCCGGGGCGGGGCGGGGCAGGCGTTGCGTTGCAGCCCATTGCCGTCGCCTTGGCTTCGGGTCCTTTGACGGAAAGTGGCGGGTCGGCGGATCCTGGTGGCGTAAACTCTTGGCCCGCTGGGATTTGCGCTCCGCCTAAGCAAACGCGTTGGAGGAGGTCGCCGGCGTCGGACGCTAAGAAGAAAAGTTTTGGAGAAGTTTGACGAAGGGGGGGGGGGGGCGCAGGGTTAATGGATTGCTTGTGTGCGGCATTTCAGTCCGGCCTCGTAGGAGCCAAGTGCAGAGATGGCATGTTTATACGGCATTTGGGCCCGGCTTTTACGTCAGCAAAAGGGCTTTCATAATCAACGCGGGACTTCAATCTTCCCCCATTAGAAATGGTCTATTTGCAAACAACCTCCGGAGCTGAGGTTAAAAGGCGAATTATTTAGAGCTGAGCCTGGATGCCAAAAATCGCAGTTGACGTCAGTGTCCATAAAGGCGATCCGTTAGACCCCGGTTATTATTATTATTTAAAAAATAAAAATCCTACATGGTCTACCTCACTTGCTGAAGCCCCTAGGTTCCAGCAGAACCTGCTTTACAAATTTGAGTGTGCCTGCTGTCAGTTTTTGACTCCTGGTGACTGCCTGGACAAGTCCCTGCGCTCTTCTTGGTAAGGCTTTTCAGAAGTGGTTTGCCATTGCCTTCTTCCAGTGCTGAGAGGAAGTGACTGGTCCAAAGTCACCCAGTTGGCTTTGTGCCTAAAGCAGGATTAATACTCATGGCCTCCTGTTTTCTCATGTGGTACCTTCACCACTGCAAATTAGAACTCACTACCAAAGTATGCCTTAACAGAGCCTTGGCTGTGTATCTAGAACTGAGTTAAAACATAGTACATTTGCAACCACTTACCTAGAGATCTTCCATCCAGATTAATGTCCTGAAGTTAAAGATGGGTGCATCTTTGTATGATCCCAGTTTTCACAATAGTTTTTAATGTTTCTACTGAGGGAAAACATGAAGGCTGAAATTCCTTTTTTAAATCATGGAACTCAGCTTTCAGAGGCAACCAGAAAGTCCCACCTTTAAGTTTTCTACAAATCTCAGAGTTCAGTTCTATGCAGAAACAAGCCACCATACTAAAACAGGTTTGATGTGTTTCTTTCCTACCTGCAAATTAAAAGGACAAGGTTCCTTATGGCTGGAGGGTTAGGAATTTATTTACGTGGGAAAAGAAGCCTCCACTTCAGAACCTTTGAAAAGCCTGAAGACAGAATGTGAATGTTTTTTGCAGATACCTAGTGTTCCAACATTTTTTTTTCTTCTGCTATTTTTAGATCATTGAAATCACTTGCTCAGTACTTAAAGAGTAAAGTTCCCTCCAAGAGAGATGCCCACAACTTTTCCATCTTACCTTTTTTTGGAAGACTTGATGAATTAAATCACTATCAGACAGAGGCAGAATTTGTCTTTTTCTTTTCACTTGTATTTTGATTTTGTAAGAATTCTTTCAAACTTCCAAAGCCAGGGAACAGTATCCCAACACAGGCTCTGGTCTTCTGCAGGAAATTTAATTCAAACTTCAATGTGCCCATTCAATCTAAATTGGCTTTCTTTGTGCACATTTAAATTCCCTTTCTCTTTAAACCAAGCCACAACAGATTTAATGCACAGAAAGCAACCCTTAAATAGGAAATCGTTCTATGGTTTCCTTTGGGGGGGGGTCCCACTATTTTTTTTCAAGGCTTTCCAACCACCCATCCTGAGAGGGGGAGTTGATTTGGTGGTGGGGGGGGACAAGGGGTGGAATAGCCTTTCCTTGACTAATTCTCTTTGCCTTTTCTTAAATAACTTTTTGATTTGAGTCAAGGGAGAGGTTGAAGAGGCATTCTTTCTCCCCCTAATGTGATATAAATCGCCAATGCACTTTCAGTTTTCTCCCCCCCCCCCCCAGCCCACGCCTTTCTCTCCCTTTCCTTTGAATGGTTAAAGCACCGACATGGAGATCATGACCATTAAAAAAAAAAATCCTATCGGAGAAATAAAGCTGGTTAATAAGATTTTTGGGAGGGAGAAAGCTTTGTGTTCCCAAGTTAAAAAAAAGGGAGGAAAAGTGTGTGTGTGGTGAGGGAGAACAGCTGAAGGTGACAGTTACTTCATGCTTAATAGGATCAGAGCTGCTTGCCTTGGGCTGCACGCTTCTGCTGGCTAATAGTTCACCACAGAAAAGGATGAATCAGGGGATTTTAAAAAATACAAAGTTTTTAACACATCTGTTACTTTTTGCAAAGGAAGGGGATTTCTTTTTAAGCCTTTGCTGTGATTCCATGCAATGGTTACTGCTTTCCCTTTCCTTTGCTCTGCACATTTTCTTCTTCTTCCTTCTCTAACCATACAAATTCCATCTCCTCCTCCTCTTCCTCCTCCTCCTCCTCCATGTTTCAGAGGAATTATCCCCTGCTGTGATGGAGACTTCTTCGGTTAAGTAAAATAAAAAGGTGCTTTCAGAAAGTCTGCTTTAAAAAGTCCTTTAAAACCCGAGATAAGCCAAGTTAACTTTTAGACTTGAGCAACAGGTTGTTGCAAGTCTATGCATGTTGCATTTTGAATAAAACTAAACTTCCTGTTTGTTTGTTCAGTGGCTTATTCCAGGGAGGTGTGGGCAAGGTTTCAGCTATATCTTTTGTGGGGGTTGTCTGTGCTTAAAAAAATCCAGTGTTGAAAGCCATCACTCTGTGTATGAATTTAAGCCAATTTGGTCCAGGTCATTTGAAGCAATTCAAGCAATGCGATTTGAATGGAAACAGTGGAAACAACTTACCTTAAATAAAAAAATATTGTAAATTATGTCAGTGTGGAGTGCAAACCAGTTAAAATATTCTTGCAGTTTAGTTAGTCTTTCCCTCGAATCCATTTAATAAGTACAATTATGCTCCATATTTTTAATGTACATGTAGAGGTAAAGTTAACTGGAGGGTATTTTCTTTCTTTTTTTTAAAAAAAAGGCCTGTTATTGTTATTGGCACCACTGGAACATCATCAGGACAGAATCATCAGGAAGAAAATCTACTTACATGGTAAGAGTTGACACTGACTTGAAGGCCTCTGATTGTTATTGTTATTCAATAACAAGAAGGTGGAACAAGCAGCATGAAATAATTTTTTGAGTATTTAAAAAAGGTGATTTTTCACTTTTCAAAGTTAAAATAGGAATGAGCTACTGTAGGAAGTTGTATTCATGCTTAGAATTTTCATTATATTTGGAGCCATTGAAAACGGATTTATGATCTGCAACCCTTTCCCAAAGCTAGAAAAACAAACATTAGAGCTCTTTGCCAGAATACTTTTAACTGTTAAAGGAACCTAGACCCTAGACCAGTGGTTCTCAACCTGTGGGTCGGGACCCCATTTGGGGTCGAACGACCATTTCACGGGGGTCGCTAAACAACGCAGTCCGCCATTTTTCCCCCCCCTTTTCCTTAACTGTGCTACTCCCTTTTATTCTATTGGCTTTTGAAAGCCAATAGGAATTGTCCAGGCTGTCTCTGCCCTGCTGAGCCCGCCAAAAGTCCCATTCTGCAAACGGTGCTGCACCAGTTGAGTAGTCCTCGACTTACGACCGGTTGAGTAGTCCTCGACTTACGACCGGTTGGGAGTCACGGCATTAAAAAGGTTGAGAACCACTGCCCTAGACAGAGCTAGACAAAGGAACAGGCCTAATAAACCACTGGTTCCTATGTTAGCCTCCTTTTTCATCCACAGCAGAAACCTGATTTCATCTTGTCTCATTTGTACTCTCCATTCTTTAGAAAGTGTCAAAATAAGATTATATGAATATATAGTCTAATTTCCTTAGCCTCAGCGAAAAGAAAAACAGCGAATGAATGCAAATAAATGTAGCTTTCCGCTTTTCTTGAATAATCCTCCCCCCTTTTCCCTCTGGAGGGGAGATGTCATTGGAAACTTTTTAAAAAGGCATTTAATTCTCATGTGTGTGTGTGTGTGTGTGTGTTTGTGTCTGTCTGTGTCTGTGTGGGTCCATCCGCGCGCGCGCGCGCGGCCCTTCGGATCAACACCCTGCCGCCGTCCGCCTTTGGAGCGACAGCTTTCCCAACGAGGCGGTCAATATGCAAAATTGATGACCGCACCTTCTTTGTGGCGGCCCATTGTGCGCGGGTTGCTTATGAAGGCTAATCCAATCATAAATTGCACCCCCTGACCAATGAGGGAGCCCCGAGCGTCCGATGAATGAAGCTCAAGTGGAGCACCCCATTGTTAGAGCTGTCACTTTTGAAAGCGCCTCGGCGGCGCTGACCGCTATAAAACCCGCCGCCACGGAGGAAGGGCCAGGAGACCCCGGCCGACTCGCGAGGTGGATCTCTGCCGAAGAGGGCGGCCGTCGGGCAGGCAGGGCTAGGAGGAAGAAGGGGGAGGGACAGAGCAGCCAAGCATCGTGTGGGGATTACTATTAGTGTTATCTGTAAGCGAGGGCTTCCCTCCGTTTCTCCGCGAAGAGCGCCCTTCCCTCCACCCTCGCTCGCCTGCCTGCCTCCCTCCCGCTCTTGGCGCTCTCTCTCGCCCAGGCCATGATGTTCCCAAGCCTGCTTGCGCCTCCCGCCGTGTACCCCAGTCTCTTGCGACCGACCCCGACTCTCACGTTGCCTCAGACGCTGCAGTCCGCCTTCTCCGGCCCCTCCGGCTTCTTAGTGGAAGATCTCCTGCGGATCGGCCGGCCGGCCGGTTATCCACCCCGAGGAAGCGCCCCGCCGCCCAGCTTGTCTCCCCCGGTCGCCGGCGTCGGGGCCGCCAGGACTGAAGCTGGGAGCTCAGCCGAGCTGGCGAGTGTCGATTCCTCCGGCGCCAAGACTAGCTGCTCCTCCCGCTCGTCGCTCACTTCCAGCGGGGACGCCACTTTCCTGAAGTTCGGAGTCAACGCCATCCTGTCCTCACCTCCGCGGACAGGTAAGTGGCCAGCGCGTCAACAGACGGAGGGCGCCGAGAGACGGAGGGTGGGGGGGAAACCGGGTGGGTAGTGAATGGCGCCGAAGGGCAAAGGACGCGTCCTCCAAGAGGGAAGTAGAAGGAGGGACTCGCAGAGTGGCACGTCATCAACCAGGTGGGATTGGGACTCATAAAGAGAATCCGGCACCCCCAAAGGGAGCCGGCGCGCTCGTGCCTCCGCAAGCGGTCCGCCAGTGCAGAATGAGTCGGACCCGGGGTGAAAATGAGGGGAAGAGAAGCCAGGGCTAGCTAAAATCTGCCAAGGGCCCGGAAAGACAGTCGCCCGAGTCGCTCCTCTCCTAGTTCCCGCCAGTGCGGCAGGCTGGCCAGCGAAGGAAGCGGGATCCAACCCATTGGTCAACCAGAGGAGCACTTCGTATCTCACGTGTTTCGCTCGGTTCTGCGGGAGAGCGGAGAAATGTGGGTTTCCCGCTTGAGACGCTCTTCGGGTCTTTGCTCAACTTCCTTTTCTTTCCCCAGAGACTTCTCCTGCGCTGATCCAGAACGTCCCCGTCAAGACCTTCTCCTTCCCCTACTTCGAAGGCTCCTTCCAACCTTTTATTAGGTCGTCTTATTTCCCAGGTAGGTTTCGAGGCGAGCGGAAGCGGCTTACCCAACTGCCCATCCCTCTTTCCCCTGCTCTCTTCGGCTGCCCCCGACGTATCTAGGTAGTAGCCTTGGAGGCGGAGAGAGGTTTGCCTATAGCAAGAGGGTCTTCCTAGTCGGTCCTCAACATAGTGTAAGCTGACCCCGCTGCGCCTGAGCCTCCTCCTCCTCCTGATCCTGGATTCCTGCCCCAGAGTCTTGGCCTAAGGGCATCCCCAAAGCTATTCCCTTTGTTGTGAGCATTTCTTGAAATCGGCCCCTTCTCTCTCTCGGAGGGGTGGGGAGGGGAGAGGAGAGGAGGGGAGGTGAGGACGGGCCTCCGGTTCAGAGGTTGGACGGGGTACAACATTCAAGAATCAGTCGCGCCAATTTGATGCCCTATTTAGCACAAGCGGCGACTGCGTGACATTTTGCTTCCCAATTCTTTCCCCTGCCTTTTCCCCCCCCGGCACTGCAAATTAGCCGGGATGGTCACGCTCCAAGTGTGAGGCGCTTGATTTCTGACTGAGCTGCTGCCGGCCTTCCTTTCGGGGCGGCAGTTTTCCCACAGAGTCGCGGCTTTTTCGCTCGGCCGTCAACAAAAGTTTCAGCACCATGACCAATTTGGTCAGCTCCCTGAAGGGCAGCCACACACAGACCCGGCGCTGACTCTGCCGTGCTGCTGATAGACATTTACCAGCCATGGGCTAATTTCTCATTAAGGGTCATTCGCTTTGCCAACGGTTTCACAAGACCTCATGGGGAGCTGCCTTGTTTGGGCGCTTCGGTGTGGCCGAAGCCAACCCTCTTCAACCTTCTCTTCTCCAAAAAGTTCTTACATCAAAGAAGGCTTGGAAAGAAGGAGGGGTTTGTGGGTCGGCAGAATAAGGCTAAAGGAAGAAGAGCAAGACACATCTGTGCACTTTCAGCTGAGAACTACCATTTGTCCCATCGTTAATGTTGCTGGACCAATACAGCTCACTTCTCTCCATAAAAAAAAGTAAATATTTGGAGAGGAGCTAAGACTGTAGCAAAGCAACTAATCAGTACCTGGAAAGGAAGTCATTAAGAATTCACTAGTAAGTCCCCTGCCATCTCTCCCAAGGATTTTTTTTTAAAGACTGGAATATCTCAAAGAAATGTCTAGAGAGATGTTCCAGAAGCAATATATAAACATAATCATCCTTACTGAAGAATTCTATAGTGTTTGGATTTTCTAACTTCATTTGTAATTAGAGACACACATATAAAGAGACCAATAGAAAGGGACGATTAAATATCAGAATATTTTCATATGCTTCGTATTATACTTTAGTCCTGTAAGCAGAGGTCATAAAGTTGCAGAAAATTCTGTATTCACAATAAATTAGTTAAATAGCTAAATCAAATTAACTTCAGACCTTAGTTTTGGAACTGAGTAAAATTATGACTAAAAATAACAGTATTAATAAATATTGCTTCAACTGCATATATTCTGTTCCAAAAGCTCTTCCATTTATTCTCTTGATAATAGAATGTGCTTCCTTTCTCCAGTCCTTGAATGGCCCAACAAAAACAACTTGAGCTTTATATATAGCTTTTCATGTCCATTTAATGAAAATGATTTGGGGAAAGAGAAGGCTGTGTCATCAGTATTCTCCCCAAGCAGCTTGGCATGCAGTTGTGTTTAGTTTGAAAGTGTAAATGTCTTTTGTTCCAATAATATATGGCTTTAGCTGCTTGTCCTCAGTCTTTTTCTGTTAGTTCATTACTACACAATTACTATTCACGCTTCATTAGAATCTCTGTTTCTCTTTGGGAGTTTTTCTTTCCACTTAAAGGCAAAACTCTGCCCTTTTTATCATACCAATCCCATTGGGAACCAGTCAGTGTGCTAATTAGCTGTTACTTTTCATGTCTCCAGAATGAATTCTACAAGTTTTGTAAGGAAGAGGGAGGAAAGATTCATATATTTTTTTTAAAAAAGGATGAATACCTATTGACCAGAATTTTTATGTAAAAATGAAGGGTTTATTCTAGCTTTTTTAAAAAAGTCCCTTATTTTACTTTGGATGTAATGATGTGTGTGGTATACTTCTTGAAAATCTAATAATAGTAACTTTTAAAAATACCCTTATTTTTTTAGCTCTTTTGTTTTCTTTTCTGTCCTCATACCTTTGGATTTGGTAAAAAAGCAAGCTAGCTGTAAATATATAGACATGATCTATTAAATGGAATCAAGTTACATTTACTGGAAAGAACAGCAAGTCTGTTTCATGAATTCAGATTAAAAGTTGTGATCTGCTAGATCCAGATAAGTGGGTGTAAAGAAAATGAGAAGGAGCCACAATAAGAGAGAAGGGACAACTAGTGGCCATATCTTTAGGCATGCAAATCACGGGGAGATTTGTCACTGATTTGAACAGAATATAGATGCCCTCTTTGGGAACAGGGATATCCTTGACTCCCGTCTTTTTTCCAGCTGATTTAGCCAATAATGCTTATTCTTTTTTTCCCACAGCTTCCTCTGTGGTGCCTATCCCTGGGACATTCTCTTGGCCCCTGGCTGCTCGAGGGAAACCTCGCCGAGGGATGCTCCGTAGGGCAGTTTTCTCAGATGTACAACGAAAAGCCCTGGAGAAAATGTTTCAGAAACAAAAATACATCAGCAAACCAGATAGGAAAAAACTGGCAACTAAGCTGGGCCTGAAAGATTCCCAGGTAATTCTTTATCCTGCTATCCAGTCATATAAACTGGTTAATTTCTAGGCAGTTTGTGAGCTGTTTCTTAATTAATGGCCTAAAATCACCCAATTACAATAAGCATCAAATTAGTCAAGCGTATTTGGCCTGCGGTAAGGAAGGAACTTCGCTGGTGAAGTTAGTTTATTATTCAGTGTGTTGTGTGAAACCAGAAATGAGTGAGTGGAGCAACAGCTCTAAGGGGCTGCCCTTTAAAAGATGCTTGGGATTTGCAATTAATGTAAAATAAAGCATCCAGTGGAATACTAACCAAGGCAAGTGCAGCATGCACGTAGCATACTGAAAAGGCTTACCGGCAAAATTGAAGGTATTTATATTATCCCATAAAATCCTTAAACAAGGTTAGCATGGTCAAACTTTTCAAATGAGGACAGCGGAGAATTGTAGGATGAGAACGTTTACCAAATTAAAATAGTTTTAAAAAGAGTTGAGCCATAGAAAAGATGCTTGCGCTCTCTCTTTCTCCTCAGATTCCCACCCTAGATGGGACAGAGATATGGGTCTTGCTTGTTTATTTTAGAAAATCAGTGGGATCATTATAGGTGGGTCTGATCCATAAGGTGAACTGTAAGATGAATTGGTAGGTAAAGAATGGGCCTAGAACTTGAGATCTTAGGAACTAAGAGTCCCAGTGTTCCATATCCTTATCTGAAAAGGTGGAACTAAGGGTACTGGAATTACAGAGGTAAAGATAAAAGTGGAATTGTGTACGACTATTTCAATTAGAGAGTGTTCCAACATTCAGTTTTAATTGACAACAGTTGAATAGTGTTGTAGCTGGTGACTCGGGATTATGAAAACTATAGTCCAAAATATCTACAGGGCACACAAAGTTGAGAATTCAGCCTAGCTAATGTTTAAGATATTAAAAGAAAAAGAATAACTAAAGTAAAGCTGGAGAAAACAAGCAGCAAAGGAAATATTTCAGTAAATGTGGAGGAGATGTGGGTAAATTCATCCCACTGAGTGAGAAAAGTTAGCCAAATAATTATTTCCCATTAGATTTAAAATCCAAAGAACTTCTTCAGTATTATGCAAACTGTCTTGCAAGCCCAATGCGGGAAAATCTCATGAATTACCTTGCAATTGCTCGTGGCATAAAATTTAATTTAAATCTGTATCGGCAAGTAATTGAGATGTGATCATAAAATAATTCCTATATTGATCTAAAATTATATTAGTTAAAATAGCTGTATTTTGTTTGAGGTGTTACAATCAAATTAGTTTATTTTGTCATGAGAAGGCACATTGAATTAGTTAGGCAATCTAATGTGTTTGAGGAAATCATAAAAATCGCCATACTATCTTTTGTATTCCATTAATCAATTCTATTATAAGTTTCTTGTCTTTATTTTACATTTTTATTCAACTATGGAGAATTATTTTCTTCAATTTTCATCTCCATTTTTAGTTTTATTAGGGATCTGTTTCCTACAACAAATTATTTTCATCTATTCAAATGTATTTGAATATGGATTTTTTACAATTTCTCCTTAAAAATCTATTCCCAGATTTTTGTATATATTCTACCCTTTATATTTATTTAGGTTTTTTAAAAAACTTTTTAAAATTTTCCTTTACTTATTTTCTTCTTATAACTGATACGCTTCTTTAATTGAAAAGAAGAAAAACTAGATTTTCTTAATTTTCAAGTTACTGCCACCTTTAGCAAGGCTACATGTCTGGGAAGCCAAATAATGGTCAGGCCTGTTGTAGAGTGTCATTAAAAAATCTATAATGCAAAAATCACAGTCTCTTATATTTAACAACAAGATGTGAATTTTTGGACCACTTCGATGATTCTGGAAGAATCTGATAGATTGGTTGTATGCTATAGATATAGCACTTTGTTTATATTGTAGATTAGATTTAGATTTTTTTTATGCTACCTCAAAGTGGAGAACATACCCACTACTCCTTTCTCCTATTTTTTTCCACAACAACCCTTTGAGATAAGTTAGGCTGAAAATGACTGGCCCAAAGTCACTCAGCTGGCTTTCATGCCTAACTCACAGATTCCTGATTTCTAGTCTAGTGACCTAACCACTAGACCAAAGTATAAAATTATTCTTGGTGTGTTTTGAAGTTGAAATTTCCCCAAATTGGTATCAATTTTCTATACTACGCTATTGCGTATGGACTCATTGGAGCTTTGAAAGAAGAGAAGGATCGCAGTTCTTGAAAGGTTTAGCCTCAGAAAAGTATTTCAAGGTTGATGCAAGTCATGTGTGTGGTTATCTTGATCGTCTTTCTTGTATATTTGAAAATTCTAGGTAAAGATCTGGTTCCAAAACAGAAGAATGAAATGGAGAAACTCCAAAGAGAGAGAACTTCTGTCCTCCGGTGGCTGCCGGGAACAAACGTTACCCACAAAGTTCAACCCTCACCCAGATCTGAGTGACGTGGGCAAGAAGGGCATTGGGGAGGAAGAGGAGGAAGCAGGGGCAGTGTCCCCATTGTACCCAGTCAGCCCAAGAGATTCTTTAGGTTACCACCAGCCCACAGTTCACACACATCAGAGAGACAGGTTGGACTCCCAGATACTCCTCTCCCCCACACACTCCAGTAGTCCCAGTAAACCGTCAGACTTTTCAGACTCAGAAGAAGAGGAGGAGGAAGAAGGGGAGGAGGAGGAAGATGAGGAGATCACAGTTTCATAGAGACCTCCTTACGAAAAAAAAAGAGGACATTGAGGGGGTTGTTCATAAATTAAGGGCTATTTGATTGAAGAGGTAATGCCTTTCCACATCCATGCATTTCATATGGAAAATGCAATGCTCGCCATTCATCTACAAGACTTTTGCATGCCACATGCTACATCTATCCAAGCTCTGAAGCCTTAGCTGTTACAATCTGTTAGGTTTTGTCTAATCAGCCAGCATTCTTATTTAAAAAACTATTTTTAAAACTAGTCTAGAAATGTTGGATTCCGATCCTTAATGTTCTCAGCCAAACCTGGCCAACACATCTAGAAGGCATATTTCATTTCATCTTGTGCCTATTAAACATGTATATGTGGGCATAAGGACACAGGTTTTGCCTCTTCGATTTTCTTAGTCAAACTTTGCTGTCTTTGCATAGCAGATATGAACTGTACACTATTTTGTATATTCGTGTTTTAGGGGTATTTTATACCAGGGCTCTTGTATGTTTACAGGTAAAGCAGAAAGCTTTGTATATTTGATTGTATATGATGGGAAAATAGGAGACCGATTGTATATATGTGTTTTGTAATTTTGTTAAACCCTAAGAGGAGCTTAGATTTTAGCTATGTAACTTATATAAGATGTTATTTTGTATTCTTGCTGTGTACAGATTTAAATATGTATATTTTACAAATGAAGCAAATGCCTTTTAAAATAGACTGCAAGGCTGACATTTTTTTTATTAAATTGGAGTGTTTTTAAAAGCCTTTATATCCTATTATTTATGAAGTATTTGCAGTAAGGTTTCCAGACATGACCCACTGAAATCTGCTGTGTTGAAACTTTACAAATCAGTAAAAACTATCCTATTTGTCTCCAATGTCAATTTACTTTTACAAGCATAGGAAAATTACTAAATATTGTCAGCTGGAAATTGACTTTATTCAATTCAGAATAAACTGTCTGAAGTCGGTAGGAGGGATGAGCAGCTTGAAAGCCATAGCATTCTTGTGTCCATAAATGCCACTCTCTGTGGTTTATCTGTAGGATGCTGTTAACTTTCATATGCACACATTCCATTCCACAGATTTAAGAAGTGAAATAATTGTTTGCTCTTGTCTTATTTGAGGACTTCTTCTGTCCTGTCCTATGGGATAATCAGTTTTAGCAAGAGGGCCTCAGTTAGGAAGTTTGCTAGTGGCACTATAAAATGCCAAATATTAGTTTACTATTACACTGGTTTTACAAAGCAGTCGTTTCCACCACTGTTCTATGACCCAGCAAATAAGGCAAATACATTAATCAAATGAATAAATAATGCTATCAACATTATTCCACGATAGCCTCAATTTCAGTGATGAAACAGAAACTTCCAGGTCAAAAGTCTTTAATCAAATCCTAGTTGGACCTCAGTCTTCTGATTAAAACTTAGGACTATGCAAAGTTTTGAGGCAATGTTGGAATTCGACCAAGCTTCAGCTGAATCACCCAGTCAAGGCAGATGTGAGAACCGAAGCAGGAATCCTCCTTTGAAGCAATATATGGAATCAATGGCCTTCATAAATGTGTGCCTTTTGAAATACTTTGCAACTTTTGTGGTTACCCAGATGCTGCTCTGTGTGTATATGCATGTCCAGAATCCCATACACTGTGAGGATGTTGCAGGTCTGTGGAGAGCTCACTGACACTAGTTTCAATAGCTACTCAATGAGTCTCATACCTTATTGATTGTGTGTGGCATGGCTAGCACTACTTTGGGATTCAGTCACAGCTTCTTGACTGTATCCAGTAAGAAGCTTCACTTGGTTCTCCTGTGTATTATTGCCATAGGATATCACACTTCTGTGCATTTCTTGCCAACCCAATTGGGAGTCCAGCTTGACCATCATTGGCTCGACGATATGTTCAAAACTAGCCATTCTCATGCTGGTTCTTGGGTCAGACCTTATTTTGAGATTCTTTGACTGGAGCAGGTTGAAATATCTTAGCAAGAAATAAATGGATGCTGGCAAACATTTGCAGCTGGTAGCTCAAACATTTATTGATTTGAAAAAATGGGGAACGGCAGAGGGAGTGGGGAGCAGCTGGCCCTTTAAATCACATACCAGCCAGCTGCGCCCAGAGAGAGTCACCTGTGCCTTGAGAGCCAATAAAGAAAAGGAAATTCGATCAAGTTTGGGGTGGGAAGAGCTTTGGGGTCTGAGGGGAGTTGTAGGACTTACCTCAGGGAAGGCAGGAACTTGAGGAATTTTGTTTAGCCTAGAATTGTACTAGGAATTTTTATATTTTATCTATTTTTACTCTGTGTTTTGGGTGTGTGTAGCCTTCTTTTTGCCAACTTTAATAAAGTTTTTGTTTGTTGTTTGTTTGGAGTGAATCCTAGCATTGACCAGTTGCCTTCTGGGATGCACCTCAGCTTGGCTGAGCTACAGACTCCCAATGTTTTGTTCAGTTTCCATTCTTGCAGTTTAGCTAGACCTTGAAGTAACCTGGAATTAAGACGAAACTTCCTAACAGTGAGGGCAATTAACCAGTGGCTTTTGCCTTCAGAAATCGTGGGCACTCTGTCACTGGAGGTTTTTAAGAAATGACTGGACAACCACTTATCTGAAATGGTATAGGTTTTCCCAATTTTTTTTTTTTTTTTGAACTCACACATGTCATACAATCCGCCTTGCCTACCCTACAAGGTTCCATTCAAAAAAGGTGCCGGAACTCCGTTCTGGGCGTTCTATGACAAAAAAAGCCCTGGGTTCTCCTGCTTGAGCAGGGGGCTGGACTAGAAGACCTCCAAGGTCCCTTCCAGCTCCTATTCTATTCTATTCTATTCTATTCTATTCTATTCTATTCTATTCTATTCTATTCTATTCTGTTCTGTTCTACTCTACTCTACTCTACTCTACTCTACTTCTATTCTATTCTATTCTATTCTATTCTAGTCTGGTGTAAGAAAATATATAATTAATTAATATTACTCAAAATATTATGAATAGGATTGGGCAATTGTAATTTGATACACATGAGCTTGCATATGTAAACACCCCTACACAAACAGGGAGACATAGGTTAAGTGGTGCTCTTCTGTTTGAAAGAAACTAATAACTGAACTTTTGCAACTGTAAATGAAAAAAAAATATCTTTAATAATTACAAAATAGATTACTTTTCACTACGGTACATATGAACTGCAAGAAGCCAGCTTTATTTTTAATAAGGTAGTCCTCAATGTACAACCCACAATGAAGCCCAATTTTTTTTTTGTTAAGTGAGACATTTGTTGAGTTTTGTCCCATTTGACAATCTTTCTTGCCACAATTGTTAAGTGACTCGCTGCAGTGGATAAGTTAGTAACCCAGTGGTTAAGTGAATCTGGTTTCCCCATTGACTGTGTTTGTGAGAAGGTCACAAAAGGTGATCAAATGACCCTGGGACGCAGCAGCGGTCATAAATATGAACCAGTTGCCAAACATCTGAATCATGTGGGATACTACAAAGGTAGTAACTCTGAAAAACGATCATAGCTCCCTTTTTTTCAGTGCCATTGTAATTTTGAATAACCACTACGTGAACTGTTGTAAGTCAGGGGCTGCCCCTACTGTGCCGAGAGCATTACGAGCTGATTTGCACGCTCTGGCGACTGTATTTTTTTCAACACATAGATCACTACCTCATGGGGAAAGGGTTTGAAAGAAGCACCAAAACAGCCCTTTGGACATAAGAACAAATACAGTGTAGCTATGTTATATCATTACCGTTTTACTAAAATTAGTACCTAAGTAATGTATTATGATGGTATGCATAGCATGTGGTTAGGAGAGTTCAGGCAATAAGACTAACATCTTCATTTCGCTTGCCACCTATACAATATCCTAACCCTAAGCTATAATTATGGTAGTGTTTTTGTTAACACCTCTCAGGAAATCTGGGAATAATAAAAGAGTGTGGGGACACAGTGGAATAAAGTTTACAGAATCCAGAATGACAGATGTGGAAGGGACTTTGGAGGTCTTCTAGTCCAACCCCCTGCTCAAGCAGGAGACCCCTATACTAGGGGTAGGCAACCTCGGTTCTTTTATGACTCATGGACTTCAACTCCCAGAATTCCTGAGTCAGCTATGCTGACTCAAGAATTCTGGGAGTTGAAGTCCATGAGTCATAAAAGAGCCGAGGTTGCCTACCCTTGCCCTATACCATTCCAGACAAATGGCTGTCCAGTCTCTTCTTAAAAACCTCCAGTGAGGGAGCACCCATAACTTCTGGAGGAAAGCCATTCCACCGATTAATTGTTCTCACTGTCAGGAAAGCTTCTCCTTTATTTATTGTTTTGTTTATTCCTTTATTCAATGAAGTCTTATCCCCCTTTTTTCTGCAGTCTTTTACAACAGTGGCCCCCAACCTTTTGGGCGCCACGGATGAGTTCTGTGGAGTGCAGTTTTTCCATGGACTAGAGGGGGGAACGGGCCTGGTTTCGCATACTGTCTGCATCCCATGGCTAGGGCTTCGTTTACTTGTGCGACCTAGATTCTGGTATGCCACAGCCCAGTGCTGGTCCACGGACCGGGAGTTGGGGACCTCTGGTTTACAATCCTAAAACAACTTCTTTGGAAATTTGGGGCAACTTGCTAACCCATGTCAGAAAATGTCACAGGGAGACAACGGCTTATCTTAAACCTGGCAGAGATTTAATCAGTTTTGAGGTAATTTTTCCTGCCCCTTTCACATCTACTTTTTTTTTTTAAAACCATTTTGAATACAGAGGGGTTTATAAAAATGCACTCCAATTTGCCAACTGGGCCTAGGCAAGACTGGGTGGCTGTGGGTTTGGGGGCCTGCCGGTGCTGAGACTCTGCCATTTTTGGTAGTGAATGGGGTGGCATTGCCCCAAAGAGACCTGGAAAACAACTTTAGATCCTTCTAGATCAGGGGTAGTCAACCTTGGCTCTTTTATGACTCGTGGATGACTACCCCTGTTCTAGATTCGTGAATCCTGCTCAAAGAGCAGGTAGCAGTGATGCTAAGAGGACCTTTGTGTGTTGTGCACCATTTGTACCCATTCTTGGACCAGGAGGCTCTGTTCATGGTCACTCAGGCCTTGGTCACCTCCACAATGGATTACTGTAATCTATTCCATGTGGGCCTGCCCTTGAAGAGTATCCAGATGCTTCAGCTGGTGCAGAATGTGTTGGTGCAGGCAGTGATATGTGCTCTTAAAGGATACATGTGACTCTTCTGCTTCACAAGCTTTATAAAGAGAGCCGTGGTGGTGCAATGGTTAGAATGCAGTATTACAGGCCAACTCACTGCTCACTGCCAGGAGTTCAGTCCTGACCGGCTCAAGATTGACTCAGCTTTCCATCCTACCAAGGTCAGTAAAATGAGGACCCAGATTGTTGGAGAAAATATGCTGACTCTGTAAACTGCTTAGAGAGGGTTGTAAACCACTATGAAGCAGCATATAACTCTAAGTGCTTATTGCTATTGCTATTGGTTGCCAGTGTGCTTCTGGGTCCAGAGTGCTGGTTTAAAACCTTCATGGCTGGGCTGGGTTATCTGAGGGACTATGTCTCTCCCTGTATTTTCCTAGAATACTATTGAATTGTCTGGAATCCTTACTGGATATTGGACATTAATAAAGTTGAATGAGTTCAGAAGTACTTTACAAGAAACGTCTTGCATTCTTCTGTCCCTAATAG